AAGGTGATGGTTAAGTGAAAAATGGAAGGAAGGCATTTCAGGGGAAGGGAGCAGCATGAGTTTAACCACATAATTAAACTTAGAGGTAGGAAACAGCAAGGTGTCCAAACAGGATGTTTGGAATAACACTAAAGCAGTGGGGGTGTAGTGTGGAAAATGAGGCCAGGGAGATAGGCAGGATCAGTTCGTGGTGGGTTCATATGCCATACTGAGAAGAATTGTGTGGGCCTAAGAACAGAGGTTACTCAACAAATGGTGCAGGGACAACAGGAATATCCACATGCAAAAGAATGAGGTTGGGGAAAGCAGTTGGAGAAAGGTGGTTCCTTAAAAAGTTTTGAAATAATTGAATGCAGGAACTCAGATACTTGTACCATTACAAGCATGTATCATGGCAGCATTATTCACAATGGCCAAAATGTAGAAACAACTTAAGTGCCCATCAATAGATCAATGGATAAACGAAGGGTGATATATACATATATAAATGGAATATTTTCAGCCACAAATAGGAATGAAATTCTGACACATGTTATAACATGGATGAACCTTGAAAACATTATGCTAAATGAACTAAACCAGACACAGAATGATAAATTTGTATGATCCCACTTATATGAGATATCTAGAATAGACAAATTCATAGAGACAAAAAAAATACAGGCTACTAGGAGGGGAGAATGGGATGAGGAATTATTGCTGAATGATTACCGAGTTTCTGCCTGGGGTAGTAAAAAATCCTGGAAATAGATAGTGGTAATGGTTTCACAACATTGTGAATGGGAAAAATTTTATTTTATTTTTTTACCATGAAAAAAAATGAAAATGAAATAATGAAGTTATACCCCTACCTCACACCATATTCAAAAATTAACTCCGAATGGATCAAAGACCTAAATGTAAGAACTAAAAGTACAAAACTCTTTGAAGAAAACCTAGGTATAAATCTTCATAAATTAAGATTAGGTGCTGATGTCTTACATATGGCAGCAACCAAATTAAAAATAGATAAACTGAACTTCATCAAAGTCAAGGAGCCAAGGTAATCATAAGCATGTGGTATTTGGGAAAAAGAAAGCAGACCACCAGACAGAACAGTGGACTTACATCATAGAATATAAGGTTAGAAAAGTGGAATGAGGCTAAGAGATTGATCCTTACATACATATACCACTCAGAAAAAGTATTATTATGACCCAGTTTTGCAGATTAGGAAACTAAGAGAGGTAAATTGCCTTGCCCAAGGCCATACAGCTAGTAACGGTTGAGTTGGTTTTCCCAAAGCTAGGATAACCTGACTCCTAAATATATGCTCTCCCTTCCTTAGGACATTGCTTCTCCTAGGAAAACTGAGCCACCAGCGAATGCCCAGAGGGAGTGCTGGGGACCAGTTAATCTTACAGCAGTAACTGTTTATTCAGCAGCAGTGTGAGCCTTTGGCAGTCAGAAAGCCCACCTTCACTTTCCATTTTTCACATTGCACAAGGTCCTTAATATCTCACACTCTTCAGAACACTGGCAAATGTTGTCTCAATCACTCATTTGGAACTCGACATATAGTAGGTAATATTATCATTATCTTTCAATTTATACTTCATGCCCAACCCCTACCTAGCTAAGAAGCAGAGCTTCATAGTCCAGACAGTCTAATGCACAGGCTTCAAAGGATTCATTAACCTCTGTATTTGTAAGCACATTTTCATATACGTCTGCATTTTGAGGGGGACTTGAGTTTTGCCATTTCTGATATGCCTCCAAAAGTTAAGAATCTTAAATTAAGGATTCATGTCTTCTACCTCTTTTCTGTTCCCAGTACTTAGCAGGAATACCCTGCATATATATGGTATATGCTCAATAGATGTTCAGATTGTAAGGACCTGGGAACTTGCCTATTACAGAAGGTTCTAGGAGTGGTCAACAAGGAGTGGAAGGTGTCACAGGGCAACTTTATGCTGTGACAGCAGAGAAGGTGTGGGTTCAGGGTGCTCAAATATTGCTTCTCCTTTGAAGGGCTCTCTAATCTCCTAGGCAGAGTCTTTCCTTCCCTGTTCTGTGCTTTGCATGGGTGACTGAGAAAGAGCCAGAGAGAGCACACTGGAGAGGCAGCTGTGGCTAGCAAAAGCATGAGCTAGAACAGACAGTGTAAGTTGGAGAGAGGGTAGAGAAAGGGCCAAGAGGGAGTATGCACTTCCTAGAGAATAAGCATGAATGAAAGAGAGCATGTGCACCATCAGGCCTGGGCAGAGAAATCCTCAAGTAGGGGAGACCACAAGTGAGGAGAAAGCTGGAGCAGGTGAGGCAAGGGAGCAAGACTGCAGAGGGAGCAGTTTCAGAATGTGGTCAGTCAAGGGCAGCAGGGCTGGGGGAGTGCAGGGGTCAGGCAAAGAGGTAAGGAACAGGAGAGGAGCCCATTAGAGTACTGGTGTGACCACTCAGGATCAGCTGAATGAGGGCAAGAGAGAGGAGTGGGGGAGAACAATCACAAGTTCAAGAGTCAGAGAGAGAGTGTGTGTCAAGAGCCAAAGCGCAATCCACTCCACGGAGATGGGAGGGAATGAGGGTCTGGAACAGGAGTGGCAAAACCAGGGGTTCAGTTTCAAAAATTAAGGAGACAGAACAGGCAAAGTGAAGATGGTGGGGAGGCAGAACTAAGAATGAGAGACTGGAGAGAGAAGGGAGCGCATACTTGACCCCAGAAGGAAGGAGGCAGGTGGGCAGGAGAATCCAGGAAACACCTTACCTTATGCCTGTGTTCCCGCATTGCTGTGAGTCTCTGCATGGGGAGCAGCTGCCATCCTTGCCTGTGAAGTTTTTCCATACAGGGATGCTATGCTCTCTTTCGAATTTTGTCTTGTTTTATTTGTCAACAAGGATGAGTATGTACTGTGCACAAGATCTGTCCTAGCTGCTGCAAAAAGGGAAAGAATAGCTGAGGCTTCATCATCTAGGATGTGGTTACCCTTGCCTCAATTTGCTATGGCTGCTGCCCTGTTTTCCTATTTTGTGTTTTATGTTGATAAGGAATTCAGCAGAGATTTCCTAGGGTGGGAACTGAGACCCAGTTGTGATCAATATTTTGGGAAAAGGAAGCAAAGCATTCAACTCAGAGAAGACCTTGAGATTCGATGGGATATTCCATGATCAAACACAACGCTCATTTGCCAATTTTTTGCTCAGTGGTCTTTAACATTCACTCAAACCTCATCTCTACAACTAGTGTGTCAGGTTCTGCAAGAACAGAATTTACATCAGCTTCTACTACTTTCTATTCAGCCTACCTTCCCCTCCCTAGAATATAAGATAGATTTCAACTGAGCAGAGCACAGGCAATGTTTGTTGACCTTGCTGTTTCATTGATTCCTGCATCATTATCACCATAAACATCCTTAACAAGTGAGCAGCCCAGTGAGGCCCTCAACTGAGCTGCCATTCAGGACAAAAGGAATTCATGGACAGGGCCTTGCCCTGTGGCAGTAAAAGCAGACATAGAAACATTAGGGAAAATCACTGCTTAGGGACCCGGGTCACAAGCGCCACTGGCAGGTTTTACACTGCCTTGGAAGCCATAGGCCTCTGAACTTCAACTTGCTGACTGCCACCCTGGAATGGCCCAGATTTCCTTAGCCCCCATATTCCTGTCTTTTAGCCTTCACCAACACTTTTTTCAGCCACAGGGAAATCCACCCAGTCTGAAGAGGAAAATCTGAGGAATGTTGACAACCTCCAAACTGAGCAGCACTGGGAGGGGAACAGGACGTTAATGACAATTCTAGTTCTTGACACTCATCACTGCTCTCATTAGTGTGAAAAAAACATATTTTCTGGATTTATTAAATTGGTATAATCTGCAAGCAGAGCATTGAATGTCTGTGATGGGATGACAAAGGAGTGTTATTTTAGGTGTAGAAAGGAATGGATAGAAGGAAAAGCTTATATTTAGAAATGACGATTTTATGAATAGCATGAAAAAAAGAGGAAGTTGACCTCAGACCTATGTATGCCTTTCCCATCAGCTCTTCCTTCCCTCCCAACCCCACTCCACTCCTCAACACATGCTTCAAGAGGATGTGCAATGTCAAGTTCTGAATCCAGATCACAGGATGGTCCCTGAAGTAATTTCTGGCTCTTCTTAATGACTGGGATAGAAGATTCCAAGAGGCTCTGCCAATTCCACCTCTGAAGAGGATTGATCTATTGGACCCTGACAGTGGGAACGAGGCTGGGGACGATTTTAATAACCACAAGGGCAGCCAGTGCTGATGGAGCACTCAGTATATGCTTGACACTCTATAAGCACTTCGTATCAGTATTTTACTTTATCCTCCCTACAACCCATATGCTCTGACATGTGACAAATTGAGACAGAAGGTTAGAGAAATCTGACTTGTCAAGGTGCCCAGCTAGTAAGTAGCAGAACCAGGATTCACACCCAAGTCTTTCTGATTCCAAAACCTATTTTAACCAAATTGCTCAACATGGTATCCTGCTTAGCATTAAATCAGAGAGCACTCAGTAATTACTTCATAAAGAAAACACAGACTCAAACATACTTAAAGCTCTTCTGGTTTTGAAAATAAAACACTTCCGTGTATTTTATCACCTCCTTATTGGCCTCTTTCATTCTGTTCTCTGCAGATTTTGAATCCCATTTCTTTCACTAACTGGCTATACACATGTGGACAAATAATAAGTTCTCTAATGTTCAGTTTCTCCATCCCAAGGATGAAGAGGTGCATGGGATGAGAGATGGTCCCTAAGACCACTGCCATTCCTGGTTTTACCTCCTCTAGTGGAATAACAGGTCACAGACTTTAGAGTCAGGCAGTCCTGATTTCAAGTCTCACCTAGTGAACCATTCCTGGCCCTGACCTGATGGCAGGTATGTCTCAGGACCTCAGTTCAGAAGTGGTCCCACTTCAGGCTAATGGGAAGCTGATGTAAATTTGTGCATTCTCTATTAAGTGCTTGCTTAACATTTCACTCTGCCTCTTTCCTCTCAGCATCTGCCTGCTCCTCTGCCATCTGAGTGCCCTGCCTGCGCCATCTGCTCCACCATGGAGAATGAGCTGCCAGTTCCCCACACATCTAGCAGTGCCAGCACCACCAGCAGTGCCAGTGGGATCAGCAGCAGCAGTGGAAGTGGCCGCCCCACAGGGCCCCAGATTTCTGTGTACAGTGGCATTCCTGACCGCCAGACCGTGCAGGTAAGCTTCCAACTCACCTAGTGATTGTATTCTGTAATCATCCTACAGCTGGCTAGCGTGGTCTGTGGAGATAACTGGGATAAGTGGGTGTGTTAGCAGGTGTATGTTTGCTATATAGTACATGTTATATAGAGAGAGGAGAAATGATACTAAATGGATCTAATCAAGGAAGTTTGGGGAAAGTGGGGCTACTAGGAAGATCCAGAAAATTCCTTTCTTACCTGGTGATTCAGGTCCCAGAGTGCTGTTTTGGGAGGATAAGCATGTGAAAGTGTAAGGGGCTGACAAGTAAAAATAACAAGCAGAAAAAAAGTCTGGGAGCTGCTTAGCCACAACCTACACCCACTACAGATCATTGCCCTATAACAATTCAAGTTTCTTAAAGACAGTGGACCAAAAAGAACCATCAAACCAGTCCTTTGCCTTTGCAGCTTTTTATCTTCTTCCCTAAAGCAGCACTTTGCAAAGTGTAATCCATGAGACCTTCCAGGTGATTACACACTGTTTCAAATGCATTTGTCACCATGTATTGCCATCTGCTGTGTGCCCTGTACTGTATGAAGCATTTTGCATATGTATCTTCTCTTCTAGCTGAGAATGCTTATTAGTAGACACAACTCTGTAATTGAGAAAACTGAGACTCAGAGAAAGTAGTAATTTATCCCAGGTCCTTTAGATAAAGACAAAAAAGCTGAACCTAATTCTTCCCCCAGACTATGCTCTTAATCACTAAGGGTCCCAGGTAAAGCAGGCAGAAAGAGACCGCAGCCAAGGAATGTTTGCTCTAAGTAATATTACTGTTACAGCTTGGATGTACGAGACAAGTGACCTCATCCTGCTTTGGCCCTAGGCCTAGACTAGGGACTGGCAGAGAAGTCACAGCAGTCAGTGGCAGGGCCTGCAAATCAGCAAAAGATGACACCATCAGATATTCTGGAATCTTCCCTGTCCCAGTTATCTCTGCCTCACACTTAATAAAACCATGTTTCCTGTGCCCACCCTTGGCACACACACATCCAAGCCTCTTCCCCTGGCCCCTTTGCAATAAATGCTTTAGCTCTAGTCTCTAGCCACTAACATTAAGATGTACCCTCCTTCTGCCCCTCATCACAACTCTCGGCAAAAGAATTTGGGGTGTCTGCTCTGGCAAATGAGATGACCCAAGGTCATGTTCCACACCCAAACAGAACCATTAGGGGTTCCTCCTGTTTCTACTCATTGCTATCCTATAGGGAGAAAGAGTCTGGACTACGGGGAGGTACTTTTAGGAGTCTAAGGAAAATTGAGAGGCCTAGGTGATGGGAATAAGAAGAAAGAATTCTGGGCAGAGCAGGAATAAAAAACACTGAGTTCATGTAAACCAGGACACTGTGAAGGGGGTGGAATCTGAAGAGCTGGGATGGGTGCAGGTAAGTGGGGAGAATTTGTGCTATCTGCCTGTTTTCACAGAATCTCAAATCTGAGTGCAGAGGTTGGTATGTCCTAGATCCACCAGCCCTAAGAAATCATGCTAAGCTGGAGAGATCTAGACTGGAGGTTCCCTTGCCAGGGATTGGGAGCCGCCCTGTGGAGGAATTGGGCCAAAGCCTGTCAAGGGCCTGTGTAGGATATCTAGTAGGAAGAGATGGCAGGAGGGTGACCAGGCAAGGAGAAGGGAGGAGAAATGTCTCCAGGGCTTAGAAGAAGTCACACAAGGATCTCAGAGCTAGGGGATGGGCACGCACTTTCCTTTGTTCCTGGGGATACAGGAGGTTTTGAAGGGTTGGGAGTGAAGAGTGGGAGGGAATATTTACTCATTTCCTAGAGACTGTAGCTCAGACAGTCCCATCAGGATAGAGGTAATAGCAAAGCAGTAAGGTCAGGGGATGGGAGAGGTGGGCTAAAAAGAGGGAATGATAGAGGGAGGGGAAGAATAAAAGAGAAATGCATCATCCCTGTGGTGTGTCCTGCTGCTTCTAAGGGACTGAAAGGACTTTCCAGGCAGCTGGGCCAGACACTGGGAAGCAGCCCCAAGTCTGCCGTGAGGCCCCAGCTGGGAGGGTGTTGCCCTTGGGTGAGTTTTGGTTTAGCAGACTGGGTTTAGGTCCCTCTCCGACCTGTCTCCTTTTCCCCCCCTTCCTGTGCTCTGCCTTGTTGGGCTTCCATTCGTGTCACCATGGCCCCCTGGTGCAGTCACCCTAATCTAAGGCGGAAGAATGGGGGTAAGGAGAAGACCAAGCAAGGCTGATGGGACTCAGTGTCACTGGAGTCTTAAAGGCCTCTGCCTCCCTGAGCTTCGCTGCCCCCCCTGAGTCCATGAGAGCAGCACGTGCTGCTCTGACTTCCCCAGCTGGCCAGCAGAAGTCTTCCCCTCTCCACCCTCCCTAGGTGATCCAGCAGGCCCTGCACAGGCAGCCGAGCACTGCGGCCCAGTACCTGCAGCAGATGTACGCAGCACAGCAACAGCATCTTATGCTGCAGACGGCTGCACTTCAGCAACAGCACCTGAGCAGCGCCCAGCTCCAGAGCCTGGCAGCTGTGCAGCAGGTAAGAATATGGACACACCGCTCATGCCACAGAGGGTCGTGGTAGTTGCAGAAGTAAGAGGGAGAAGAGGCAGCCCCTGCCCCAGAGCTCCCAGGCTTCTCTCACTGTGTCCTCACAGAATCCTGTGAAGGAGGCACGATTGTCATCTTCATCTCCGACAGAGGAGGAAGGAGGCTCTGGGAGGTTAAGCACCTTGACCAATGTCACCCAGCTCATGAGCGGGGCCGCTGAAGCGCTCAGCCGCGAAGGGCTGTGAGAGCCTCCTCCCCACATCACTGCACTACCGGGAAGGGACCAAGGGTCCAAGGAGGTGTCCACAGAGAAGCCATTGCCACTCAGCTTGCCTGGCTGTTGTTAGTGGCTGAGAAGAATGCATTCATTTATTCATTCAACAAAATTTTTATGTGCCTGTTGTATGCCAAAGTTCATGTCAGGCACTGAGTATACTGTGGACGCTGTCTTCTCTGAGCTTAGAGTGTGGAGACAGCAAGTAAACAGAAATCCAAATAGACAGGGAAACAAAATATCTTAAGTAAGAAGCTCTATGAAAAAGAGAGCGGGATGCTCAAATAACAGGAGGATTATCTAGGGTGGGCAGTCAGGGAAGGTCTACCTGCTGGAGTAATGTGGATGCAACACCTGAAAGATGAGAAGAAGCTGGCCACGGGAAGGCAGGTGGGACATTCCAGACAGCACGTGCCAGACTCTCTGCATGGGGTCTGTGAGCCAGATCTGACAGAGCAGGGTGGAACAGAGGGCTAAAGAGAGCTGGAAACATGGGAGACAATCACAGCTGATGATTCGTGTGCTTACATGTAAATGCTTCACCTTTCTAATCCTTTCAGCAAAACTAAGGAGATACTGTTGTTATCCCTACTTTATAAAAGAAGAAACTGAGGCACTTGCTTGAGGTCACACAGATGAGGCAGAACAGGGGTCTGATTCCAGGAGGTTTGGTTCCTTACCACTGTCCTGCAGAAGCTCCCTTTGGACTATGAGAGCCTGATGGAATAATGGGAGAGATCTAGGACTCCAGGGATAAGAATTTTTCTTTCCTAGGCAAGCCTGGTGGCCAACAGACAAGGGAGCACCTCAGGCAGCAGCGTGACTGCACAGGCCCCAGCCCAGTCTCCCTCGGTGAGTAGGGTGGGGACCAGCCCCTTCCTGGCTGCCCAAAATGTTCACTGGCTCCCAGACCCAGCTGGGGCATCCTCAGCCACATCATGGCCGGAATCTATTACTCTTTGCAGAAAAAAAAGTGCATGCGTCTTTCTACCCCTGACTTAAATGACTCCCTGGCATGTTTCCAGTGTCAAGCCTCTCTTACACAGCTCCATTCTCTCCCCACTGGATTCTCCCAGCAGCCCTGCATGTAGGCCAGAGATGGGGCAGTGCTGGGAGACACTCCAAAGCCCAGGGACCAGAAATGGTCCTATAGAGGGCTGAATCCACCAAGGAACAGAAGAGGGGGTGTGAAAGCAGTGGGTGAGGGGGCACAGAGTGGACCAGTAGAACCTCCTTTTTCCTACTGTGGGGTCTCTCTCATCAGATCAACCTGGCAGCCTCCCCAGCAGCTGCGCAGCTCATTAACAGGGCTCAGAGCGTCAACTCAGCAACAGCCTCCGGCATCGCCCAGCAGGCTGTGCTCTTGGGTAACACTTCTTCTCCAGCCCTGACTGCAAGCCAAGCGCAAATGTATCTGAGGGCGCAGATGGTGAGTACCCAGCCTGGGCCATGGCTCAGGTGGCCAGGAGGACAGAGGCAGAGAAGTTGGGAGCTGGGAGAGCAGAGAATGGAGGGGATAGGAGAAGTGGAGAGAAGAGGCACTAGGGGACAGGCAGCAAGAGAAAAGGGGCAGAAATGGAAGGCTGCAGGGGAGCTTTGGATAGGCTTGGAGACTCAAGGACGGGTGGGATTCCCATTATGCCTCCTTTCCGTCCCCAGTTTTCCTCTTCTTATCAGAAACTGTTATGTTTCCAAGATTAATTAGAGTAGAAAATACAGGGCTCCATGCCAAATTGGCCTGTACGCTTGGACACATAAGATAAGCAAACACACAGACATCCATGTACTCTACAGAAACGGGCTCTTACCCTACTGTGACAGTCCTTTCAGGACTAGCCACCACTGGCTCAAGGGCCAAAGGCGCATTCCAGTCCAGGTGGTGAAGGTGTAGCCAGCATCAGGACATGTTTCTGCCTCCACTGACCTCCCAGCCAGGCCCCCATTCTAACCATGGTTACCCTATCATCCCCTGATCAGGTGGGCTTATTTGGGCCACATGCACTCAGGATGTCATCAGCCCTGGATATGGAGATCCAGAATCTCTTCTTTATACCTGTCCCTGAGAGGTGCACAAGTCCTTAAGAGCCTCAAGTTTCCTAAGATTTAGAGGAATTTCCTGGGAAAATAGCACACTCTGCAGGAGGCAATAACTTCTAGTCTATGCTGGGCTCAAATCACTGTCAGTCTGATCTCAAAGCTCCCACTCTTAAGACTTCTCCGCTGGACTCCTTGACACACTAGCCTGAAGACAATACAGTCCTGACCCTCACTTTGCTCCAGAACTTGACACTTGGAGCTATGGCACTTCTGCCTTTAACTCTGAGCTAATTGAGGTGCAGCTGCATTCCAAGGGAACAGCCTCTGAGACACACCATGTGGAAGAGACTTCCACCTCTCTAGGAAACCGACAGCCACATCGTGACACCACCCGACCTGCCTTTGTCTTCTGTTTACTTGTTCCCTTGTCCTACTCACCTGCCTCCCTCCTGAAGCCTGCCTGCCTCCCTGCCCAGAGCTGGGCATACAGGCGCAGAGGAGCAAGCAGAGGTGTAGCACAGAGTCCTAGGGAAAGCACGCCATCAGACACCAGCATGTCCACACTGATGCCAAGCTAGCCATGAGGAGCGGAAGTGTTATGCAGAGACCATCGTGTAGCCTGCCCCCACAGGAGGAGGGGCAGGCCCTATTTTGACTCTGTGTGCTCCAGTTCCTCCACTGCTGTTGCCTCCGCACCACCACCCCCAAATCTAAATTTGACTTAAAAAGGACCAAAAGAATACGTCTAACTTGATCCTTTCTGGAGGAGAGTCCTGCTGTGGCCCAGACCTGGAGTCAGGAGTGGGTCAGACCTGGAAAATGGTCCTAGGGCACCTATCTCAGCCTGGGGTCCCTGCTCCCCAGGGTGCTGCGGAGAGAGTGATTTCAGAGTATCCTGGGAATGTTGGTCGCCTCTAGGATAAGGTCCTCACAGAGGCTTATGAAGTAAACCTGACTTGAGTGTGTTCCTAGAATGGCTCTCCCCCATACTCCCTTCACTGCCCCACCTGGGCCAGGACACTTAAAGCCTTCTGAGAGTTTCAAGTGTTCCCCTTGAACTCCTTCCTTTTGTCACTTCCCCATTTTCCCATATCTGCTCACTGGCTAAACTGTTCTGTCCTGTGGCTGAGCCCACATTGGGCAGGTAAAAGGCACCTCGTTTCCTGTGATTCCAGGCCCAGCCAGGTAACCTGGTGCAGGTAGCTAGGAGCCTAGGCGGCACTGTTCCTTTGTCCCCTCAGCTCATCTTCACGCCCACGGCCACCGTCGCTACTGTGCAGCCTGAGCTCGGCACTGGCTCCCCCGCCCGGCCCCCCACCCCCGCCCAGGTGAGGATTCCATGCTTATGGGAGGGCAGGGGGGTGGGCACCTCCATAGAGGGGTACTGATACTGGGGATGGGCACAAGCCCTGGAGAAGCTTTGAATCTTTGGAAAGGTTGGGATCTTCTAGGAAAGCAGTGGGGAGACAGGACATCCCAAAGCTCCCAGACTTACTTGGTAATTCCCTGTTGAAAAGGCCTCAGCCACTCTTGACTCTGTTTTATTCCTTCAAACCAAGGCCAAGAGTCAGACAGCAGCATGCTGAGACAAGAATGATAGCCAGCCCTGGGTGGTAATGGCTCCCTTTTTACCATACACCCACCCCAGGATAACTTTTGTTGTTGTAGTTGCTTTTTAAGTGGAAAATCCCACTCTGGTTACACGTGCTAGCGCCTCCGGGAATCAGGAATGATGGCGTAGGTGAGGGAGCAAAGATGAGTCCTGGGTCCCCCTGCCTTCTGCTGGGAGCACACAGAGACTGCTGTGGCAAAGATTCTGTGGGTGGGCGCAGGGGAGGAATGTCTCCCACTCCCTGCAACCCGTCCCCAGCTACCAATGGGCACCCAGCGGCAAGCACGTCAGAAACGAGTCGAGTCAGGCACAGCCTCTGTGTGTCCAGCAGAGGGCACCAGGGACCAGGTTGAATAAACAGTTTATAAAACCAGGTTCAATAAACATGCCCACCCTGGTATAACAAGGTAATTCTTTGCCTGGGGTCCTTGCTGGCCAATTAACTTTCCCTTTTGCCCTGGCCTTTTCCAGTGTGGGAAGCCCCATGCCCCACTGTATCTGGGAATTCTTTCTAAGTGGCATGAATCCCATCCTGATAGTTTGGGGGAGGTGGGGAGGTGATGGAAGGGAGAGCCTGGCCTCCCTGCCCAGGCCTGCCCCAGCCTGCACAGTCATCCCTTCTCAGAACTCACTTTCTTCTGCTCATGGATCCAAGCACTAGCACTCTTTTTTGTCCCCTTTAGAAACTCTACCTGCTCCTGGTTCCTCTTTAAGCCCCTAACTCATTCTTTCTTCTCTTTGATTTTACAACCCACCATCCTGTCCAGCCATTCCTGGATCCATACCTAACTCTGTGCCTATCTTAACTGTGTGTTGGCATTGCTCCCACCCACATTCTCTGGACTCCTATAGACCCCTCTTTTCCAGGTACAGAACTTGACCCTCCGAGCACAGCAGACACCAGCTGCAGCAGCCTCGGGCCCTTCCCCCACTCAGCCTGTCCTGCCCAGCTTGGCCCTGAAACCCACGCCAGGCAGTAGCCAGCCTCTGCCTACCCCATCACAAGGCAGAAACACTGCTCAGGGTTCCCCAGCAGGTGCCAAGCCTGGCATAACTGACAGTGTGATGGAGCCACTCAAGAAAGGAGATGGCAACAGCAGTGTGGCAGGGAGCATGGAGGGCCGGGCTGGGCTCAGCCGGATGGTGCCCACTGTGGCTACCCACCCCCTCATTGCACCAGGTAAGGGCTCCAAGAAGGATTCCAGCCTAGAAAACTCAGGAGGACTGTGGGTCAGGGGAAAACATTCAAACTTTCCTTTTTCCCAGGGGCACAAGATACCAGCCACGTGTGTGTCTCTCCCTCCCCTCTTCCAATCTTGAGACATTCTTCAGCTCCTAATTCTGTTTCATGCTTCTAGTCCGCTTCAAAGAAGGAAGCCACATCAGTGGAATTGCAGAGTCCCTCTTCACAGCAGGCACAATGGTGAATCTCAAAGCACACAATCATAGCTCTTAACCTTGAATGAGTGGAGGTTGACAGTTGGACTATTTTGAAGTTCTTTTAAGAGTTGGCAAAAAAGGACTTGCCAGAGGCATGTCAGAACCACACAGGGAGATGAGACAGTAGAGAGTTTATTTTCTCATCATCCATCAGACATTTGTTGACAAATATGTGCCAGTTATGTTGCCAGATCTGGATGTGCAGGTAAAGAAGAGTTGAGCCTGTCCTCCAAGGAGGGCACAGCCTGGGGAGACAGACAAGTACAGTGCAGTGCAGCTGCATAAGAGCTGTACTGTGGGTGAGCTCTGAGCACTGCAGAAGCACAAAGCAGCTATCTAGCTTTGGGAGAGGAGCCAAGAAAGGCTTGCCAGTGAGGGTGACGCTTGAGAAAAAAATCTAGTGACTTAAAAAAAAAAATCTAGCAGCCTACTTAGGAAGTTCTGTGAAGGCAATGAATCAGCATTCCATGGAGCTAGGCTCCATTCTCTACCTGTGCAGTTCTCCCAGGGCTGTGTGTTGTAGGCAACCTTTAATGAGAAAATCTGCCAGAGCCCTAGAAACCAGACCTATCTGGGAATAAGACCAAGCTGTTATACCACAGAAATAAATGTAGTGGACCATGTGACTTTGCATTAAAGAGAGACTCACCCAGGTCACATCCCTGAGGCAATCACTAACTCTCCTCATCCAGACCATTATACCAGCCAGTCTAACCTGCATTTTTTTTTCTTGAGAATCTATATATACTTGTTACCAGATTAACCAAGATGGTCTAAGTATGATTCCTTACTTAAAGGAGTATGCAGTCAAGAGGAGGGGGCCAAATATACAAGCAACTTCATTCAATTTCATAAATTATATCATAGAAATAAGTGCAAGGTAAGGTGGGCACAAGCGGTTAACTCAGTGCCAAACAGGATGGGTCAGAGATGCTAACCCTCAGAGGAAATGACACAGGTCTTGAAGATGAGTGTTTACCCAGCAGACAAAGTAGGGAAATGTATTCAAGACAGGGAGCACAAATTGAGCATATGACAGTGTTCTGGGGAGAATCTGAGCTGAAGGCCTTTTTCCCCTGTTTGAGGTTTGAAGGGCAAAGGCTCAGTCCCTGCCTCTCAGTGATCACTACTGAGTTGAAAGTACCTCCCTGCAGAGAGGCCTCACTGCCCTGCAGTTGCAGACGTTTCTCACTGTCTGGCATTGCTTTCTCCAGAGCTTACCCCCAGACTTTTCCTTTTTTGGAGGAAGAAACTGAAGCCCAGAAGAATAAAGCCTGGGGGACCATACAGTGAGTTGGTAGCAGCTTGGACTAGAGATAGGATCCCAAATTAGTGTTCCTTCTAGGTTCTCTTTCAACCTATAACCCTAGAGCAATATCAACACTTCAGGACTTCCTGAGAACCCCCATTCCTGCCCTGCCCAGGTCAAAACATAACCTCTCCCTAGGTCTAAGCCAGTGCCCCTTCCTCTCACAGATTCTAAGGACAAGGACCCTTCAAAAGACCTTTCTTTGCTTCTTCCTAAAGCTTCTAGGCAGCCCTGGGGTCTCAAGGCAACTGGACAGAAAGGGGATAAAATGCTGATAAAATGCCTTTTGTTTATAGGATATATGGTTGGTGTTTTATACATACCTCCTCTGTGACCTTTGAAAGAAGCCTGTAGTATGGGTGTTATTATCCATTTTACAGATGAGAAAACTGAAGCTCAGAGAGGTTACAGGAGAACTTGCTACATATGTCACTCAAGGTCACATAAGTAGTAAGTGCTGAGCTGGGAACCAGTTCTATGTCTGGCTGAGTCAGATCCTGTGTTCTTAATCATCAGGAATTTGGGGCTTCCTAGGCTTTCCTGTTCCTGACCCAAAGCTCAAAGAGCTTGATGGTTCTAAGATTGCTTAGGGGTTCCTAGAGTCTAGAGGAGGGTTCAACATTCTTGAACCCTGTAAAGGTGAATACCAGTGGGTTACAGGCTGAGGTCCAGAGCCCCAGGTATGGCCTGAGACTCACAGTATGTGGCTATACACAGTACAGAGACCAGTGGTTCCACAGAACTTCCATGGAGCAGCTGTGAGCTGCATCTAGACCACAAAGACCCTCTCCCCAGAGACACAAATCAGTGGGCTTTGCATTGTTTCTGCCTCCAAACGTCCCCTCCCACTCCTCCTTTCTTCTCCCAGCCTCCCTTTCTGTAAACCCTGCGGTTCCATTCTCCCACCCCCACCTCCCAAATGGAAGAGAGTGGGGAAGTTTAGGGTGCTGCAGGCCCAATCAGGGCCTCTGGAATACAAAGCCAAGCAAACAAAAATAATCCTTAAGACCTGATGCAGGGCAGTGGAGCAGCACCTGCTCTGGGCTCTGCAGTGCCCCAGGCAAAGAGAACTTCTGGCCTCCTGCCCAGCCAACCCACTGACCCACTGTGAATGAACTGAGGGATCAGAGCCTGTGCAAATGCGTGTGTGTGTGTGTGTGTGTGTGTGTGTGAGAAAGAGAGAGAGAGAGAGAGAGAGAGAGAGAGAGAGAGAGAGAAGGGAGGGAGGAAGAGGAGAGGGAGGGAGGCAGAAGGCTGCACGCCTTTTGCTTGTTATTGGAGCATTTTTTGAGCTGGCTGGCTGGTTGCCCCCAGGGAAAGTAACCAGTGGAGACTTGTGGTTGGGGGAGCTGGGGACGGTGAATTATGGCAGAAAGGAATGTGCTCTCCTGGGGGCTCTTTCCTCCCAGAGCAGGCAAATGCTCTAGTCCCAGCTGGGACTGCTCCCACTGACAGCTGTTTGAGGGCAAAGCCCCTCCCCCATGGCAAGCTCCCTGCTGTTCCTGCTCCTGTCACCTTGGCAACCGGCTTCTTTAGGCTCAGCAAATAGAAAAGGTCCCTTGTGCCCTGAAAAGGGGTGGGTTGGTAGATGGGGGAAGGGAGTAAGGGGCGGAGAGCAGAGCCTGAGGTTGGGCTTCTCAGAGATATAAGGTCTAAACCACAGAGGGCAGAGGAGGGGCAGGCAGCAAGCTCCCTGGGCCTGACCTCCAGGGAAGCCGAGTCCTAGGAAAGCTGGGCCACAGCTCCCAACAGGAGGCTTGGTTCTTGGAGTCCTCATACTAGTGGATAAACTTGAGGCCATCGGTGCACACTCAGGCCCAAAGGTGAGGAGAAAGTTGCTGACAGGGAGGGAGATACTGTCGTAAAAGGGAACCGTCAGGTCGTCGTTGAAAGTCCTGGGTCTTTTCACACAATTGTGCTCCAGATGCTAGGTCTTTGTTCTGTCCCCTCATCCCTCCTCAGGTCTCATCACAGAGAAGGAATCCTCTGTAAGGAAGGCCTGCCACATAGTGGCATTGTTTTATCACAGAGGGGATTTTGTGTCAGGGAGTCGTGATTTCTGTCTGTTATAAGCTGGACAATGTGATGCTTGCTGATTCTATAACTCTCGGGTACCCTGTTTCCCTCCCAAAGCAGCTGCCAAACTGCAGTGTAGACACACTTTTACTGAGAAAATCCAATAAAAACCAAAACATACAAGTGGACCTGCTATTTAGCTGGAATCAAAATTCCCAACAATTTTGATGTTAAAATCATGCAACCAGCCATGAAGGTTATTTCAACTATCCACTGTAGGGCCAAATTCAGAGTACTAAGCCAGTGGACATCAGTAGAGGAGTTTTATATTTTGCTTAACAGATAGAGAATGTGAGTGTGAGGGGGAGAGGTCCTGGGGCAGCTGAGCATTCCTTCTTTCCTCAAGTTCTTCACTGTAGCCTCCTATGATGTCACTTCCAGGGGCACTGCCAGCTAACATAGAAATTACCCGTGTGAACAACCATGTTCCAGGCACTGTAATAATTACCTTATCTACATATCTCATTTAATCCTAACAATGATTACTCCACTTCACTAGTGAAGAAGATCTGGCTCAGAAAGAATAATGAACTGTCATCCGCAAATAGTTTTTCCCGGTCTCTTTGATTGTTTAGTTCAGCTCTACAGATACTCATTTAGCCCTCTTATGTGCCAAGCAAGCATAGTGCTGACCATATGAGAGTTACAGAGATGAATAAGAGTTTAAATTCTAAGAGGGGTTGTAGAAACTTGAGTTGTGCCTGGGAAAATAAGTTTCAAGAATGGAACAGAAGAGGGTTCTGTCAGCTGGCACTGGGAAGCACAGCCCAGGACGGCCGTGTGACCACCTGAGCGGATAGCTGGGACCTGCTTCTCCTTCCTTTCCACTCCCTGCTGTTAGCTGTGAGTCTCCTTGAAGACACAGTCTCGTCCCCCTTGTGCTTTAGTCCAACACTTACCCCTAGAGAGGAGACAGTCCGTCTTAATGTTTCAGACCCCTCCCGCCTGTCCTCAAATGACTTCTCAATATTCGTCCATCCCTGTCCTCGTTCCTCTCCCCAGGACATTCCCACTTGGATATCACCCCACCTGCATAAAATATTTGAATTTGGAGAATTCATAAAACAAAAACAAAACAAAACCACAGAAATCTTCCTCTGTGGAAAACTCCCTTTCCCAGTTCCCCAACCAGTACCCACATGTTGAGGTGTTCCTGATCCCAAGGCTCACAATCTCAGGGTTACTGTGGCTTCACTCACCAGGGAGGAGGGGTGTCATAGTGCGAAAAGCATGGGCTTCAGAGTTAGACCTGGTATCAGACCCCAGCTTCATTACTTACTGGTTTTATGACCATCATCAAGTTACTTAATCTCTGTAAACCTCAATTTCCTCGTCTATAAAACAAAGATGACTGT